GGGATCGAACCCGCGACCCTCAAATTGCGAGTCGAGCACCTTAACCACCTGGCCATGCCGGGCCCTCGGTCTTTCAGCTGTGGATAAGTTATAATGCGACATTCACTTCATTGGTGAAAGAGTAACTCAAGAGTTGGCGGTAAATGGTGTTGACTAACTGCCTTCCTTCTAATCTATCATTGTTAAGGTAGGCACGGCTATCGCAGATAGTCCTGGAGTAGCTTTGCACGAAATCAAAAACAAACAAATAAAACGATATTATACATGATATCTACTAAACCAGTTTAAACTCCTGTGACAAATATTGTTAATTAATTTGCTGTTTGAATTTATAAGTTAATTTCATTAAAATCAACTATTTCAAAATTAAAGATAGTTTCTTATTGGCAGAGCTAAGGAAAAGCGATTGCCAACAGCTAAAAAGCACTTCCCCAATCCTATTATTTCACTATGCTGTTATTACTGTTATTAAATAATACACAGAAATATTTCTTCCTTGGAAACTTACCCATTTCACTTTTTCAAAGTATAACTTATAACACTCCATCATTTTCGGTGTTCATTAGAATAGAATTATAATATCCCAAATTTAAAATAAAATTGGTAATTTTTGAATCAATTCCTTTATAAGTAAGCACTTAAAAGTTAAAATATATTCAATATAGATGTATATTTTCGTAATTACCTATTCGTATCATACTTTATTAAGCTACATATTTCCATTCTCTGTACCTACTAGCATAACACAAATCAACTAATATAATATTGTGCAAATCCCCCTTTTTTCATTCATTCACCTTTAAATAACCTTTGAGCTCCTTACGCAGTTAATCTTCAGAGGGAATCCACATTACGCATTCTAGTCCACATTTAGATAGTTGTTATTTCTTAGCAACTCATCCTTAAACTTGTAATTATGAACTGACACTATTCAAGAAAGTTAAAATCAATTATCTATTATTATCTAACTGAGCTTTTAAAGCTATTTAATACACTCTGTTTTCTTTTCACCTAAATATGCATATCAATTCTATGACTTCAGCTTCTGGATTTACCTAACCATGTTGTATCACTGTCACCGCTCCTTGTATCACTATTTAAATGTATAGTACATGAGCATGTCTTTAAACACTTGTACCTTTGCTTTTCACAGCTTCTTCCTTTAAAGCCTCACTCTGGATTTTTCACAAGTCTGGCTCTAACAAGCAACCTTCTTCTCATGCAATAAATAGCTCCTAACTTCTAAGCACATCTATACCAAATATTTTAACTGTGCTCTTAAATTACACGCAATGACTTCTACTACTGCGTTTGTAGGTTCAAATAAAGGTCTTTCCCGTGATCATCTTAATCCATCAGCCTGTTGTAATTCCGTTGCTGCATGTTTAAAGAGAAGGGAATTCAGTGTGAAACACACGTTTTCGATGCTCTATTATGATTAAGCGTGTGATTGACCTTCCACGCAGATTCATTTGGATGCCTCATGAATAATCCTAGCACATTCTTCCCAAGTTTCACACAAGTGCTATAATAACTAACATTCTTGCCTTGCTAATTTCCACCTTGCACGACCTAAGCATGTAACGTTTAAATTATTTTTTATCCCATTTCCTTTCAGTACTTCCTTCTGTTTCATTAGCCAGTCTTTCAGTAGGCGTCATCGGCATTATATATAAAAAATGAAATAGCTTTTATATTCATAGACTTTCCCAGTCGTCTTTTTTCGAGTGTGTCACCATGGCCAGTTCTGGCCGAAAGTAAGGCCTGCTCTACTAGGCAAAAAAAAAAGTATTAGACTTATTTGACTAATATCATTTCTGAAATCGGGCCTCACCCTTCCTACATATGTAGCAAGCCTCCAATATATTTTTCATCCATTCAAGTGCATGAGAAGACTATCTTAATTTCAAGCCTTAATTTTTTCTGTTTCTTTCTGAAACAACAACACCAACAAAAATTATAAATCACAATGCAATTATACTGTTTAGTAATAACGTTTGAAGGTTGTCAAAACTCAACAAAACAAAACAAATATTTGATTGATTGCATCTTTACATTTGTCTGCTGCTTCTGAAGTAAGCTAGAAGCTGAAACATGAAACTCAAAAAGAAAGTATATGCTTCTATAGGTATATTTAAGATATAATTGAAAATATAGCTGTATGAATTTATCTCACTCCAGAAAGAAAACTTTTAAGAAGGTCAAAATGCCTTTTATATAAGACAATCAATTCGCCACTATTTTTACGATGTATTTCTCTAGTGTTCTTCTTATATAAGCAGTTCTTATCTAAAGCAATACTCCTATTTAGCAGGCCCCCAATGGCACAGCAGTATGTCTACGGACTTACACCGTTAGAAACCGGGTTTCGATACCCGTGGTGGGCAGAGCACAGATAGCCCTTTGTTTAGCTTTGTGTTAAATAATAATAAACAAACAATAAACAAACTATTTAGCAGTATACATAGACTATTTTTGTGTAAAATAATTATAAAGACTCTTGTGTTATTCGTGTGAAATTCTGGTGGTCCAATAAAACATATATCGAAACATAGTTGTTTTTATGTGTTGTGTGATACTTTATGTCTCCATGTAACACATATATACATAATTTTTATTTCTGTTTCGTTTCAGGTATTCTGCAAATGAGGTGAAACAGAATGCTACAGTTAAGTTTCGAGCATCTTCTATATTGGGGTTAATAACTAACAGCTTTAACATTTGCTGTATTAAGATCAAAGGCCAACATCTTAAATATTTACTATTCAAGTTGTTATAAGTGTTCAATTATTTTGTCACATATCAGTATGCTCAGTGTGTCACTAAATAAACTGTTTTCGAAGGACGTTTCGGTCTAGTTATCATTGAGCCACCGTGCATTAATTACTAATTCATTATATAAAGAATTATTTTCATATAAACTAATTCTCTAATTTATTAATGTAGAGAACACTCTTCACGTGAAATATTTTTTTTAATTTATGAACATATAGATTGTTATTTACGTGAAATAACTCTTTCATACATAGACTACACTTTGTACGAAGTAATTCTCTAATTTGTTTAATTATAGATACTTTCATAACTACCAAAAAATCAAGTTATTCTGCGTTTTGCTACTGCTGAATTTTATTTACTTTTCTATCAACGGTAAATAATTTACAATTCGACTTTCTGATACAGTATTACACGTAATGATAAACTGAAAAAAAATAGTGCTTGTGACGCGAATCAATTATAACAGGTTAACAACTTGACATAGGGGAACATTATACCTGTGCTGTTCCATTTTTGTGTGTGTGTTGGAATCAAAGGAATAAAATGTTTAGTATTGGACTAACATCCACAATACTATTCAACATAATAGTCGGAAAAACAAAAGTTTGGTTAATGAAATTTGATACGACGTAATTAATTTCAATAAATTTTTAAATATTGATTCCAACAGTACTTTCTTCAGGGGCATAATACATTTTAATGGATATGATCGAATTTTGTCTTCACTATAGGCTGATACGGGTAACTTATAACTAATCACGTAAATGCACCTTTAACAACGTCAATCTAATCATTTTCTTCCCACGGTGATTTCCAGTGTCTTCGTTGTAGCTTTTTGAGAGAGACAGAAGAAGAAAGACGTGGCACAATTGGCTTAGGTGTATAAGAGAGATGGTACTAGACACGAACTGTGAGGCAAGTATACACCCAAGACTGCAAGACTTCATTAACCATTAACCATAATTAAATGATATATACTTTATTTTATGTCACTTTTACTTATATGTGAAACAATAAATAAGAAGATACCAATGACATTTCAATCCATTTTGTATCATTCAATGATAAAACCAGCAAATTACAGATGGAAGCCTAAACCAAACATAAATGCCAACTCTTTATTTTTCTTTAATTCTACAGATAAGATTAACAAAAACATAAAATTAATAATATAGTAGATACGAGTTTAAATATTTATTTGAATATAGATTTCTGGCGAACTCCAGAGACCAAATAATTCAGTTAGGTATAGGTGATGCATACAAAGAATTAACCATCGTGTTCGTCTAAATTTATATATTAAATACCATAACAAACAAATCTGGAATAACGAAGACAATTCCTGTCGTTAGTCTTTAAATTCAATTGAAATCTAACTTACGCTCTACGAAGTCATGCACTTTCATGTGGATACACGCACTTAAACTATGTATATGTATAGGTATGTACCTGAAAAATCACCTGGACGTATTTCCTTACCCTGAGAATTATCTATAGTAGCATTTATTTAGTTGAATTTATACGAATAGCTATTTATATGGCCAATTTCATATTATACTGCTACTGCAAGGAATTAAATGAAGACAATTCCAAGAAAAACGGAAGGATAATGTCATTCAAAGAATTCCAACGTCAGATAGATTCAAAACAACCGGCTAATAAATGCAGAACTACAGGATATGTTTATAACCAGAACCAGTGGTAGAACTGTTAGAACATGGTTGCAAGAAATGATCTCAGTGGAAAAGTTTACTGTTTTTGAAGTAGGGACACGTTGAAACACTCAAATTTCTTAGTGTTATATTAAATGAGGAATTAAAGATTGAGCTGTTTTAAAAGCTAGAAATTTCTGTACGAAAGAATGAGACATTTAAGAAAAAAAGTGAAACATTGTGGTGTTTCTATGGTTATGGGGTTTGTTTGTTCGTTTGCAGTAATTGCAGAAGTAGCAGTATTACAATATCCTAAATATATATATATAGTTCATCACGCAGTACTCATTGAATGGTGTTTAATTGGCCCTGGCTTGGAATTTTAGCATGATTGTCAACCAGAACATATTGCTCCACTGAACAAGAGGTATTTAGAGCACAAGAAAAAACTTGGTGATATAAGCATTATGAAATGGACAGCCATTATCTCGATTCTAGCCTTGTAGAGAAAGTGTAGCACGAGTTGAAAAGTTATGTTACAAATACACTTCAATTCTGGGAAACTGTAACGACAAAAGTGGAAGGACATATGGTTGATAGTCTCAACAACAACAACAACAAATCCATCATATATTTTGAGATTAGAGGAGGACCCACGAACTAAATATTGATTAATGAGTTATGCTATGTTCCAAAATGAACTTTTCATATCTAATATTATAGTAGAGTATTATAAGTATAATGTATATGCCAAGCAACACGTTTTCTCTGCAACCATTTATGAAAACTTGAGTGTATATATTTATGACCGACACTGTACATTTACAGTTGTTTATGTATCTAGCTATCTGACTCTCCCAATTTGATTTTTTGTTACCAATATAATAACCAACGTTTAAGCCCCCACCCCTCCATTTTTCCTAATATTCCCTTACTTACTTCTTTTACCTAACTAAATGTTTAATTATATGGAAGCATTAGCTCGTTTAAAAATGTCGTTATGGCTTTTAAAAAGCCACGATATTAATTTAGGTTATCAATACTTTTCAGTTAAGATAAACTCTTTCCAGCTCTTGTTCTGCAATATTCGTTGCTTCAATGCAGTTTTATTTGTTCATTCCTTTCGACCTTGGAAACTCGTGATAGTTCTAAGATGCAAATTATTAGCAAAGACATGAGTCATTTAAAATTAGGTGGTAAAATAACGCCCAGAAATGGAAAGTTAATAATTAGGCATGCAAACAAGATATATTAGAAGGACTATTGTATCATGAAATTTATCACCCAAGTCAGTTCGCTAAAACAGCATCAGGATATATTTTAATGTTTTAAAGTTTCTCGTCTTGTCACTCATTAATGTAAGAAGACCTGGCAGAAAGGAAATAACTAGCAAAAACGTATAAAAAAAAACTGCACATCGTACATACATTATTTACTCTAACTGATGGGAAAGGGTAGTTTATTAGCTGTCAGCTGAATTAGGTAACATAATGATTCTACTCTCTAATGAAACTCAAAAGACAGTAAGCAAGCTATATCAAACCTAACGTAGAGTAGTTGCTCGAAACGTGGTTGTTAATTAAAATAACAGTTTTGCTTCCTTGGACTGTGTCTTTTGAATACTTGTTTTGTGTAGTAACACGTCATGCGGTCCACTATTTTACACATAAGCAAATGAAGTTTGTCATATCTCTGATTTCAGATCAGCTTCAAGTGCGGATTTTAGGTAAAAGGTTTTCTTATTCAATTTCCTTTCGAAATATCATTCACTGACGCAAGTAGGTTGTTAACATACAAGATTAAATTTTGTTTTTGATAGGCGTCTAGATAAACCTTTTAGTTTTTATAAGAAACTTTAAGCCCATTCTTATATCATTAAGCTCGAAGCACAGTTACGATAATTCAAGATGTATTTGTTCGTATGTAACCCTAAAATTGTGAGTTGATATTGCAGAAATTGTCTTGTTTTGGTGACAGTTTTGAAAAAGATAAAATCTGATATAAAATAGATTATAGGTTGGATCTCTTGCTTCAAAAAAGCGTTGAAACTCCCAAAATGTTGTTTTGGTATTGAAAGGTCTTCCCAAAGCAATGCTACTTTTGCTCAGGACTATTCCATTTTGACATTGATTTGCACTATAAGAATGCTTATCAACATATTCATAGCATCTAGGATATTATGCGAATTTAGTTCTGACTTTAATAAATGTTCTTCAACTGCTTATTTGTTACGACTTGAATTAGTTGAGGTCTAATCAATTACATTTATGATTTTCAATCGCTGAACGTTCTAAGACAATGAAAGTGATTAGAATGAGAAGGACAAAGTATATCCCATTCTTACTATTCCTTGTGCTTCGTTGTATTCTTGTCCTCTTTTGAATGGATTCCAACTTAAACGGGAATCCCATCATGATTGCATCTACAGAGTTTGCAGGTGCAACTGAGTCTAGTGCAAACATGATTTTCGGACATTTCACCGGTGTATGTTGACCGGTTTCGTACTGAAAACAGGTCTCCTCTAAGTAAATCACTTTGCAAAACGAAATGGGCTTTCACCAAAGTCTTGACACACACAGTGGAAAGCTCAAGATATCTTTCCATGAACTGAACCGATGAGCAAAAGTGCTCTAATATTCGACATCAAAATTTTCGTTGAAACGTAATTTTACTATGATGACCAAAACAACCACTAATTTCTGTACGATCGACTTCGAGATAAGAGTTAAAAACGAGTAATGGGAAAAAAGAGTAAAGTAACGTACATCTACAGCTTCATAAAAACAATAAAACGAAAAAAGAGTTTAGATATGTTTATTCACATGTACAGAGTTAGACAAAATGGAACTTTCTGATTGTCAAGGTTAAAATAAAAAGTGCACCTATTTTCCACTCATGGTACGATGAGATTGTGAAGAGTGGGAATATATATTTTTGAATCTTTATGTCCTTAAATAATGTTTTTGAGAGTGAAGACCTCGGAAAAGCTAAAATGAATGAAACCAAATACCTCAAGCCCTATCTGCAGAAAATACTTTGAAATTTGAGATCTTGCAAATGGCTGTTGCGCATGTGCTGCCATCTTTTGTTAATAAGCGTTTAAATTAAGAAATAAAATTTCACAATATATATATATAGATTATTTTTTACTACCACAACACCAGTCGATCAGTTCTGTTCAAACATAGGCTTAGCTGCAAATTAAAAGTGTGAACGAGAAAATATAAAGCATATACAAATAACACGATATGATTCTATACACCATACCATATCACAAATTTGAAAACGTGCCACCGTAAGCACGTAGTACCAAGGAGACCCACTTCGACAATAAAATAATGTTGACGACAACTTAAAAATTTCGATGTATAGAAAAATAACTAAAAAGAAGAAAAATGCACACATAAAAAAGAAT